CCCCCCCCCCCCCCCCCCCGCTCCGGTGGGGCTTCCTTATGAACATCGAATCGTAGGAAGAGGGGGTGCCCTGGTTATACACCCTCAATCCTAGACCCCTCGACAGGTACCCCAACTACTGGGGCAAGGACCCTCGGTAGATGCCAGGTGTCGAATTTGGATGTCTCCACACGAAGGATACAGGCAATGTCGGGGCCTTCATTATTAGAAGAATTTTGGGGTATGTCGTAGTACGGTTCTACTAAGAATCAGGTAGTACGGTTATATAAAGAATCCGATAGTAGTTCTCCAGATTATGTGCCTGCCATGCTTCGCGTGCGGAGAGTTTCTGGCGAAATAATTGCTGAAGTGTCCGTGGAGCATTGCCATAACGTGCTACAAGTGAAGCTCCATCTGCGCAAGCTGAACGGCTTTCCAGTGTCCCTACAGCAGCTCTTATGCGACGGACACTGCCTAAAGGATGACGAGCATGCCGATGCGACTACTGAGCTGCAGCTGGTGATGATGTCCGTTGTCGGCAAGGACCAATTTCAAAGGCAGCAGGCTGAAAACGAGTTGGTATTCTACGCGGCCGGAGTTGGCGACCTGCCAGTCGCCAGATCGTTGCTGCAAGCAGGTTGTGCCTGTGCAGTCTATGTGGATGGGAGCCAGTCGCAAATGACAGCTCTCTCAGTGGCAGTCCGTATGGGCCACACCGAGGTGGTCCGTTTGCTGCTGCATGCTGGTGTTGACAACAACCTGCAGGATGTTGGTGGCAGGACAGCTCTGGCAAGTGCAGCAAGGGTTGGCCACATAGAGATCGTGCGCCTGTTGGTGGATGCCGGATCAGACATGGACTTGCAGGACAGCAGGAGCATGACACCTCTTATACATGCAGCCAGTGCAGGCCACGCTGAAATCGCACGCTTGCTAGTGGACGCTGGTGCTGACAAGAATTGGCAGGATGAGTATGGCAGGACAGCTCTCGCACATGCAGAACTTGCTGGCCAAACGGAGATCGTGCGCCTGTTGGTGGATGCCGGACAGGAGGAGCATGACACCTCCTTTTCATGCAGCCAGTGCAGGCCACGCTGAAATCGAACGCTTGCTAGCGGACGCTGTTGCTGACAAGAATTGGTAGGATCAGTATGGCAGGACACCTCTCGCACATGCAGCACATGCTGGCCAAACGGAGATCGTGCGACATTTGGTGAGTGCCGATGGTAATGATGGCACTATGGCATGCATGATCGTGGCATGACACATCTTGTACATGCCTGCAGTGCAGACCACGCACGGTGGTGCAAGCGACGGTGATCTCGTGGCAATTGACTGAGATTGATCCTGCATAGCCTTTACAGTTGCGCTCTTTGCAAGCCATAGTGAGGTCCTTTTGAGGGCCAAAGTCTGGTGTAGTTAGTTGTCGCTGTTGTGTGCTGGGATGTACAGCTTCGGACCACACAAGATGGCGAGAGGATCTGGGTGCTCTAAAAATGCAGTTGGAAAGTTTCAGATCCAAGATTTTCATCTTGGCGGATTCCGCTCAGATGGACAGCTAGCTGAAGGTCAAACTCCGAGTGACATCCGCCTGTGTTCCGAGCAACTAGCAGCCCACCCTTCTCGATTAGAGCAGCAGTTCACGGCCATGCTACTGCACCAAAACTAGCCGCCTAGCAAAGTTCTCGAGTGAGGCGAAGGCGCGAATTCGATGCAGAGTTTAAGTCCACTGGTTTCCACCAGTGGCATGCTGGCATGCTGGGGTCCTTGTTCGGGATCCTCTACAGTCACTCTTGTCAGCAACCCCACATGCAGATGGGCCCAGGTATCTGCTTAAAGAGGGTCAAAAACCTTACGTGCCAAGCCGGGCAGGTGAGGCCAAGAAGGACACACCGGATGATTTCATGAACAACCTCATCAACAAGACCCTGGTTTGAGGAGCCTTGGGCAGCAACATGCTTCACGTGAGCCAACGTAGAAGCTTTGGTACCCTAAGCCCTAAACACGAAACCCTAAATCTTAAACTTAAAAAAACCCTAACCCCTAAATCCTGAAACCGTAACCCGTAAATCCGAAACCCCAAACCTTAAACATATCATACCCCGAAATTCTAAACTCAAGGCCCTAAGCTGCAAAACTCGGGGCTCAGGGACCTTTTCGAAGTTTTCATGCTTCTTAGGGCTCCGTTTAACATGGCTCCAGAAGGTTTAAGGGTTTGGGAGTCAGGGCTTTCAATCTACGGTTTAGGGTTTAGGGTTTCGGGTTTAGGGTTTAGGGGCTAAACGTAGAGATCATAGGGCTGAGGATTTCTGGAAGCCCGCCTGACAGGACTTTTGTCTGTGGGAGGAAGGCAGAGGATTGTCGATAGGGTAACCCCAATAGTCACCTGTGACTACGTCTTAATTAAGTGCGTCCTAGAGCCAATACTTACCCCTAAACTCCAAACTCGATCCTAAATCCACTCAACACCACACCCCAAACCCAAAACCCTGAGACCCCGCAGCAGCAGAACCGCCCAGGTGCGTTTATGGTGAGCTTTGGGGTTCGCCCCGGGCAGCAATGACACCGCCGTTTTCCCCCTCAAGGAGACCTCCGTGTCCAAGTGGGCTGAAGGTACAGAGTTTGCGTCCCCTGAGTTTTACAGTGGGGCTGCGTGCACAAATCCCAAACTCTATGCAACCTAGTGTTGATGATTTACATCCTGCATTACCTTAAGGATCCTAAACTATGGGAGTTATGATATATTCCTTATTATGGTAATGGTTTGTATCATCAACCCTAGGGCTGTAGGGCTGTGAGGTTTTGACGTGAGTTTAGGCTTTTGTCAGGGACGCCTCTCACGCTGCAGCCGAGGCTGCACGGGAGTTTCCGAAAAAAGGTAGAGTTTAGGGTTTAGGGTTTAGGGTTTAGGGTAGCCGAAGTAGTAAGATCCTTATCACAAGGGTGCTAAACAAAAGGGGATCCCCGATCTTAAACCCCTTCGTATGTATGTGTAGTCTAATCTGAACCCTAAACGCTGGGGCTTTCAGAGTTTTCGGTGGGTTCGGGTTTCTACGGTTTCGGGCCCTTAGCCCGGGTCCTGCTGGACTGGCACCAATGGATAATATCGGGGTCGACATAATTTCTACTACTTGTGTGCGAGTTCCTTCTTATAAGTGCTACAATTTTGCGACTCTACCCCCAAAGCCCTGGTCTAGTTAGTTATGAAGGCATACTAAGGCTAAGAGAGGCATATGCTGTGGAACCTCAAGGGCTCCGCTTCTGACCTCATCAGCTCGTTCAGACCCAGTGACTTAGTGCACGGATGTAGTTCTATTCACCTGACGGCAGTGGTGTAGCTTCGAGGGCGTTGAAGCTTAATGGGACGTGGGGGAGCTTCAGAGAACAAGGACCTTCAACCTAGACACTGGATAGCAGGATCCTTCTTGGAAAAATATCGCGAATCTGGACCTGTGCTTGAAGAAAGTGCAAAAACCCTGTAAAACCCTACAGCACCCTACTAAATCCGCACGAAACGCTCACAAGACCTTAAGACTACTCTGCAAACACAAGGCCGCGGAGATCTGCTTTTAAAGATTTTGTGTTGCGCAGTTGACCGAGACTGCTGGCTATTGTCGGCCGCTGGCTGCACCAGACTCATACAGATGCCTCACCCTGAAAGCAGGTGGGAGAAATCGGAGTATCTTCTGGGTAGTTCTCTAAATTCGGGTCCTTTTTTTAGGTCCCAAAATAGTAATTACGGCACCCTTATAAAAGCACCCTAACAAGGACCCAAGTTTAGAGAACTACCCTTATGAGGTTGATAGGGGCGGAATAGGGGTATACCGGCATCTCAACGGGCTCAATAGCGGCCCAGAGGAATCCATGAATGTAGGGTTGAGGGTGGGGCTGTTCTTCATCTGGGGGTTTCCGAAAATAGGGACCCACAACTAGTACCCTAAATAGTAGGGTCCTTATCATAAGGACCCCAAAATACGGTACCCCGTATTTTCGGAAACTCCCATGTGGAGGGACGCTAAATCAACACTAAAACTCACTATGCGTGAAGCCCTAGCTCCATGACCGGGCGCTACTAAGCTTGAAGAAACCTTGAAGCTCCAACCAGGTTGTCCCAACCCCGAGAGCTTGAACCTTGAACACTTAGCCCTTTCGCCCTGAGCAGTCTGTCACAAAACAAGCCAACCCCAAACCCTAAACCCTAAACCCTAAGCCCTAAACCCCAAACCCCAAACCCTAGGCCTTGAACCCAAAACCCAGAGCCCCATAGCTCTCGCAAAAGCAGCTTCATGCCGAAACGGGGAAGCAATGAGAACCCCAGGTCGTCTTGGTGTGACTCTCGCGGCTCTTTGGGTTTGGGGTTTAGGGTTTAGGGTTTAGGGTTGACCTAAACCCTAACCCTGAACCCTAAAGCATGCCTTTTACGGTGCAAGGCTTCCTTTTCGGTTAAGGCGGACCCTTCTTAGGTTGTTGACAAGGCTTCATTGCAGGGTTCTGAAGAAGGGTTTTTGGATTGTTCCGAAAGGGGTTCCTGTTTTGGGTTTTTCTTTGGGGTTGGGCTTCCTTTACCGGGTTCCTCTCCGGCCATTCCCTAAACCCTAAACCCTAAACCCTAAACCCTAAACCCTAAACCCTAAACCCTAAACCCTAAACCGTGTTTAGGGCTGCAGGGTCGGTGCTTTTAGAGTTTGAGGTGAGGGTTCAGGGTTGAGGCTCTGAGGGCTTTTGAGTGCAGTTAGGGTTTAGGGTTTAGGGTTTAGGGTTTAGGGTTCAGGGTTTAGGATTTAGGGTTTAGGGTTTAGGGTTTAGGGTTTAGGGTATAGGGAAGCCTAAATAGTTATCTAGACTATTTTGGGGGTTCCTTGTTATAATTATACTCTAAAGGAGCCCAAAGCCCCATTCTAATGATTGAGGCTTCTACATCAGTATCCAGGGTTTTATTGTTTGGTGGCCTAGGGTTTTTATGGCGAGGAAGCCCAAAACCCTAAACTCTAAACCCTAAACCCTAAAGCCTAAAGCCTAAACCCTACTGCAACTTCTGAAGCTCTCAAAGCTCGAAGAAGCGAGCCCTAAGAGCCTTATAAACTTAAGCCCTGAGGCCTTGGGTTGCCTTTTTCGATTTTTTGGGTTCGAAACCTTAAACTCTAAACCTTAAGCCCTAAACCCTAAACCTTAAACCCTAAACCCTAAACCCCTACACCCCTAAACCCCTAAACCCTAAACCCTCTCCCGCAGCGTTTCGGCTTTGACCGCAGCAGTTCTCCCGCTGCGCCCCGGAGCCGGAGCCCCGAAGACGCTCCGGCTTCTCAGGGGCCGAGGCCTCTGCTGGAGGCTCGGAGAAGGAAGGGGTTTAGGGGTTTAGGGGTTTAGGGTTTAGGGTTTAGGGTTTAGGGTTTAGGATTTAGGGTTTAGGGGCTCGATTTTTGGTTCAGGGTTTAGGGTGCAGTGGTGGATTCCAGGAGTTGAGGCGTGTTATCTTCAGGGTCGTGAACGGGTTCCCATGATTAAGGGTTCTATAAGGGCTCTGTCTGTAAGGTTTCCATGATATCGGGTTCACGGTTTAGGGAGTAGCGGTCATTTCTAGGGGTAGGCATTGCTATACGGGTTGTAGAGTTCTTGCGTTCAGAGGTTCTATCTTGAGGTTTGGGGTCTTGATATACGGCCGCAAGGATTAGAATAGGATTCGTTCGGGTAAATAGAAGCGGATATGTGCAGGGCTTAGAACGAGATATTCTTACTAATGCATCTTATGCCCAGCTGAGGGTTTGCCGGTTCAAGGTTTCTGATTTAGTTTTATTTGGGGGAAGGGGGGGTTGGGTTTTCCTGTGTCACTTTCATACCTTCTCCGTGCTTTGTTGGGTTTGGTTGTTCGGGGCGTGGGGTTCAGAACACAGGCAAAGTCTGCAGGTTCCGGCACGCTCGACGTCGCGGATTTCGTCTTGGACTTATACCTGGGATCTTGGGATGCTGGGTCTCATGTGTCGGCCGTGCGATCCTTTCTAGGCTCGTGACAACCGAAGCAGTAGAGCGGAAGGGGTCGTCGCACCGTCCTCAAGCAACCTCTCAACCACGCTGTATTGAGCCCAGAGCTTTGAAGCCTGAAACCCCAAACCCACAGCTTCGAAAGCATGGCAGGATGCGAAACGGTGCAGAAGCCTCGTAAGAGCTTCAAACAGAGAGTATCACCATCCCTTCTGAAGGCATCGAGGTTCTTCTCTTCTGAGGTCATCAAAAGCCATGGTCGGGTGCGTCAGCCCCGAAAACTCTATCAGCTCGAAACCTTATAAGCGTCAGAAGCCCTGCACCCTAAATCGTGCATCCCTGACAGAACCCCCAAACCGTACCCTCTATAAGCCACCACTGCAAGGAGCCCTTAAAGAACTACTGCTGAAACCAACCCTTAACGGACCCTACCCTCTGAACCTTAAACCCTGAACCCTAAACCCTAAACCCTAAACCCTAAACCCTAAACCCCAAACCCTAAACCCTAAACCCTTATAGCCCCAAAGGAGCACCTGAAACAACCCTTAACGGAGCCCTTAAGCCGACAGGTTCAGCCCTCCGTCGCGCAGCCCGGCCATGGGTATGCAGTGCGACGAGTTACTGAGCGGCCTCCAGCGGCGGGCAGGCTCCTGGGATAGGGTTTGGGGTTTAGGGTTTAGGGTTTAGGGTTTGGGTTTAGGGTTTAGGGTTTAGGGATTCGGATGGTCAGAGACTAGGGCTTTGCTTGTAAGGTTCGAGGATTTTTTTTGTTCAAGGGTTCCGTTGTCAGATTCTGTAAAGGCTCCACAAGGGGTCGACAGGGCTTTTGAAGGACGCCGTAATCGTTCTTTGGGAGCAGGGTGTCTTTGAGGTTTGCGAGATGGTTGAGCCGCCCAAGCCCTAAACCCTAAACCCTAAACCCAGGACTGCAAACCCCAAAGCCCTGAGCCCTTTGAAAGAAACCCTACACCCTAAACCCTAAACCCGGGACTGCAAACCCTAAGCCCCTGAAACAAGCCCTGAAAGGAGCCCGCTCTCGGAAACCCTAAACCCTAAACCCTAAACCCTAAACGCTAAACCCTAAACCCTAAACCCTAAACCCTAAACCCTAAACCCAACACCTCCAGGTGGCCACACACCGTCTCAGCCCGCCCCGCAGGGCGAGGCGAAGCCGTCCTTTGGCTGGAAAGCGGTGGGGGTTTCCGAAAATAGGGGACCCTAGTATAATACCCTAAATAGTAGGGTCCCTATTATAAGGACCCCCAAAATAAGGTACCCCCAATTAGCGGAAACTCCCAGGTGATTGCAAAGGTCTTTTACGGTTTCGTAGGGTTTTCGCAGGGTTTGAGAAAAGGGTTTAGAGGGTGTGGATAGGGTGACAGAAGGAGAGTTTTAGGGTTTAATTCGTGAAGAACAGTTTCTGTAGAGGAGTGTGCTGGAGCTTTGCAGAGGGTTGTCGGCCATTTGGGGTTCTTGAGGATCTTGGAAGTTGTCAATGGTTTAGGGTTTAGGGTTTAGGGTTTAGGGTTTAGGGTTTAGGGTTTAGGAAGGGTTCTACAAAGCTTTTTGAAGGGTTTTATCGTGGGATTGTGGCATGCTTTCTGGGGGTTCAAGGGGGTTCTGGCAGATGGAGCTTCAGATGAGCATGAGGGTGTGCATGTCAGGGACATAATTGAGGAAAGGTTTTTTGCCTTCCAGCACTTGTTTTTTTTTTACAAGTCCTGTTGCTAGGATTATCGTGCTGCTTGTTCTGCTGTTGTAGTTGTTGTTGGCCTGAAGACCGTTCTGATTTCTGCAGGGACAGGTGGTGATGATTCTGATGGTGGTGGTTATTCAAGATACTCGTAGTGAAAGCAGTGTCGTTGTCATCGCTGCTCTAATTACTGCTTTCGTGACTAATTTCATTCGTCTTTCATGACTAGTTTCATTAGTTTTTGATGGCTGTTCTTGTAAGAACTACGCTTGGCATCACCAGTATTGCTACTTTGCTTGTTAGCCGACCTGGGGTCCGCAGCGGGGTTTGACAGGATAGTCCGGACCGTCCTGTACAGAAGCCTGAAGCTTATGTACAGTTTAGGGGTTTAGGGTTTA